TAACAACCTCATGAGAAATTTCAACAACCACGTGCCTAATTCCGATGTGGATGCACAGATTATGCGCTGGCTCTCTCCACTCGAGCCAAATAACAGACATCAAGCCGTGCTCAATGGCCAGTTTTTTGTGATGCTGGGGATTGCCATTTGGAAACTGAGGGAGTTCAGGGAGCGGAAAGGGTGTGAGGGTGGAGCCGATAAGGCTGTCCTATTTTGCAGCGGGCATTGGGGTGTGGGCAAGACATATTTGATGTGAGTGGTGGGATTCTCAGCAAGCCTCGCAATCAGCCGGCCCTGTCTGTAAATTCTTAAGACCGGCCCAAACCCGGACCAAATCATGGCTGGCCAGGCCTGAACCCAACCCGACTCAAACAAGGCCCGGGCCACCTGGAAAGCCCAAACTATTCGAGAGTAGGGATTAATCCAATTATATTTAAAGAAGGCAATTATCTTAACTTTAGTACTTGAGAGACCTTCAAGCTGTACTGGTTCTAAGAAAAGAGGTGACGAGAGTGGCATGAGAGTTAGTGAACAGGATGAAGGAAAACAAGAAATATCTAGAAAACAGCCCCTAAACTCTTTCAGGGACCCTACTCCGACCATTGATTTCCAACTTCAAAGGCATTGAAGTGCTTGAATAGTATCCGAAATAAGGGAATGCCCCAAATCACTAACCGCTCGTTTGGTGCCTGAGAATGTTCTTTCCGGTTCAGCAGACATTGTTGTTATGCTATTAATATTGATTGCCTACTTCAATAATATTGGATACTCGCTCTGCCGTACTCCAACAACCATCTAGGATAATAGCATGTTAGTAAAATTTAACAAAAGAATGAATGCAGTGAAACCTGCTGCCCTGGATTTTGAACAGAGACCTCAGGTTCTGCAAGTCCTGGGGTCCACGGCACTTTTGTTTAAAGTTAGAAGATATGAGTGACATCATGTGACTCGATAAACATAAGTGACAATTCTTTTCGGTTTTTTTCGGGCTACAAGTTCCCGGCAACAAGAACCTGAAAACAGGGGTCAAAAATTTGTATGGTAAACTGTCTGTGCGCATCCGAATGCCAATACCAAATTCAGACTCCAACTTTCAGGTTCCCCTTGCCAGTGACCTGTGCCGGGGCTTGCCATCTGGACGACCCAGCCCGGCCCAAACCCCCGGCCCCCCGACCCGATCCCAGCCCGGGTCCAATTGCGAGGCTCGATTATCAGAACGAAGTGAATACCGCTCATTGCGAGAAAACCACTCACCGGTGATCCGCAGCTGGTGTGATCAGGCAAAGATGGAGAATGTTGCCGCCATATGCTTGTACTCTGACTGCCTTTCCCAGCCAGAACAGACAGCGACCAACGTGATGGGAGCTATTCTGAAGCAGCTCGTAGAAAGTGGTGATATTCCGAAATATCTGCCAGACCTTCTGGAGTCGCTGAGGGGTATTGTTCGGGAGTCTCCTGCCGTGCGAATGTTCCGTCACTCCCTCCTTTCCTCCTCTACTCCTAGATGGGCCAGCCCAGAAAGAACCCACTTGACCCAATCGACCCCACTGACCCCACCGACCACAAAGACAACACCTACAAGTTCCCATCCGTCGACAGTGTGCCAGGTGGACCTCTAAAACTTGAGCAAGTAAGAATTCATATTGTCTAAGATAGTGAAAAGCTGCTAACTGATTGATAGGACTTTACTCGCATGAATACCGAAATTGGTGACATGCGAAAAGCAATGGGGAGGAGATTTGATGCTCTAGAAAAGACAACGGACCGCAGATCTGATAACCTAGACAAGTGGTTAAGATGGGTGATTTGGTTCCGGCGTTGGTGTTGTTGGGCTCAAATAGTCACCGTACGTTGGCTGGTTTCAGCCAACATCGTCTATTCGCCCAATGCTAAAGTGTTTGGCAGGTTATCTTCAAAACCTCATATTATGATAGGGAGGTTAAGGGCCGAATTCTTATCGCAGTGAAGGAAACGGTAGAAACCTGTGCATCACAGACAGCCGGATCACGCTAGCTCTCAAAGACGGGGTTATTAAGATATCCTCCAAGCCGGTTGCTGCAGGGAAAAGTAAGGAAACAATACAGGTGTCATAGGAGATAAAAAAAAAGGAATTTGTACAAGGGAGGGATTTTCAATTAGCAATCCTGACCTTTACGAAATGATCTCCTCAGGTGCTTGTAACTGTTGTCTCGGAAATAATTAAAAGTTGGTATCGTTTGTTAGGTCAGTGATGATGAAATACAGGATTTTTTTTGCAGTGCAGAGCGCAATCCCTGACGGAAACAAACGAGTCCATAAACATCCTCTCCGGCTTCGAACATTTTCCAGTCACGGTGTTGCTCGCGGCAGTATGTCACTCCGGGGTCAGTTGGTAGCGGGTGTCACTTTGGACTTTACTGACGCCTGGTCAGACAGGTACAGTACTACGGTATCCCTTATCCTGTATTCTCGTTCACGCACTTTTAGCTTTGTACCGACATGGTGATCAGTGATAGCTAGGGCCAGAATAGCGCAAGGACAGCAGGATCTGTATCCCCTAGAGCTGTGGGAAAATTCAGCCCCTTTTTAAATATTGAGTGCTAGCCTATCCGAGTAATTGTGACAGGAAAAACCTTATGGCTAGCGTTGTTGGCACTACAGGTGCCTTGTGCCGTGCCAATGTGCCCGGCACGGCACTACGAAATGCCAGAGTGTAGTGATATTAGCTGATGGCACAACCTGCTAGTGGCACAATATGATTGTCAAAAAAATGGCCAATATTCTGGCACTTCAGCGGGGCAAGGACCCACAGGGATGGGAAATGGGTGATATTCGGTGTGAATTGGACTTGTAGATAGTTTCTCATGTCTTTCCCCTTAGGAGAATCATTTTATTTGTATGTGGATTGCCTGGGAACTACATAGTGCCGTGCCGGGCACATCGATCTGAGGTGTTGTGCCCTGGCACAACCTTCCGTGACTTAGTGCCAACAACGCTACTTATGGCATGCAAATGTTGTAGTGCTCAGAATATCGCAAAGTTCATAAAACACAGCATGGCCATGACAGAAAGAGAGGGTCCGCATAAACTTAATCCCGATTGTTCAAACAGGCTAGTGTTTACCACTCTATTAGGCTAAATGTCCAAGTTGTTCCGAGGGATACTCTTTCCAGCTATTTCCTCGCTGATCACCCCTGCCACAGCTAGTGCAGCCTTAGCACCAGTGTTCGAACACAGGCAAAGGGATGATACCCCGATAGGGTGTGCTGTTTAGTAATATATGCTCGGAGTGGTCAGAAGGGCAATGGATAGGGAGGCTTTGCTATGATGGCCGTCGCTCGAACTGTCCTTGCACCACAGCAAATGCACTAATCTTTCCAAATGTGCAATAGCGCTCGGTAGCTCATCTTTGCACAGTCTTAAGGTTAAATACTCGTAGGATGGTCGTCGAGGGGTTGTGTCGACACCTTTGTTTAAACCACTGAAAGCTGGTAGCACTAATTTAACGCTCAGGGAAAAATTCTCAATACACTAAGTAATCCTCACACCACACTCCGCCAAACTTGTGTGCTCTCAAGTTGATACAACGTACGTAATCTGTGAAAAAATAATTAGTCCATCTACTCGAGTACTCGAGTAGTACGACGATCGTATTATCCCATCCCTTACCTCGTAATCACTGCAGGCGCTATTCTACCGCTTACTGGAGATAGTTACCAACAGCTCGGCGGCAGTGTGGGCCACCAGGCAGGTGTTCAGCGCTGCCCAGACTAAGTACTAGCTTACTGGGGCAATTGTGATTAAAAAAATGTGCACAGAGGACGATACTTCCATCATGACCATGCTGAGTGTTACTCAGTTTGTGCATTCTCAGCCCAACACCCTGTTAAAGTACCGATTAGCATGGCCATGACAGAAAACAAAGATTTTCTGAGTACTCTTCAGGACAACCCACAACCCACCCGAAAAACACCTGCCCTTGTTGCCTAAGAGACACCAGCGCTACGCTATGATATGGTGAAATTCGACAACAAGGTAAGGGATAACCTGTCGAGACATTTATGTCCATTTTAAAATCTAGATCGCTAGCCTATTTGAGTAATCATGATAGGAAAAACCTCGTTGTGTGAAAGAAGTGTAGTTCTCAGAATACCACAAAAGGTGTACTTCTCAGTATGGCCATGATGGAAACAAGACATTCCGCGTAGATTTACTCCCAATTACTCAAATAGGCTAGTGTTACAGATTTTAAAATGGACCGGAATGTCTCGACAGCTTACTTCATGGGATAGCAAAACGACGGAAAAAAAAAATGGGCCCTTGCCACACTGAATTTTGCCAAGATTCAAGCATAGTTGTACTTGTAGCGACGAAGCAAAACCTTTATGTACCAATAGCTACGCTCAACCGGGAGAGTAATTCTCTGTATTCAGAAAGTAGGACATTATCCAGTGTTCCATTGAAGCCCTTCCCATCAGAAAGAGCAATAATTACGCAATCGCCTGGAGATTCAACACACACAAACCCTTACCCAGCTTCCGACACCCGCCACCCCCATTACTCGAGTACTGACACCCTATCATGACCCCTTGTTGCTGACGGGACATTACTCGTACAGTACCCGAGCACAAGTTACCCGTCACCCGTCGCGAGCAACACTGCTCAGTGGTGAAGGCGTAGACACTCGGGTACCGGGATCACGACAGCCACCATTGCGCAGGATCACGGTCGCACCAGGCGCCTCTCTAGCCCGGACGACCAAGACCCGAAGAACCTATCCGGGACAACGAGCAATCCGGGACGGCGGGTCAAGTTTTGGTGAATAATTTTTCTGAATTCACGGATTTCGTACGGGATGGCGGAGATATACTTGTACGCAAAGTTTGACTGTACTCGAGCAACCATGGTAAAGTTACTCATGGACACTGGTACCCGTACCTGCGTGATGCCAAACGGTATGGTAGGAACTGTACGAGTAGTCCGGGTCACCGTTTCCCGCAATAGAGGAGAGCTCGAGGAAGGTAACTGCCCTAAAGCGATCGTAGGATTGTTAGCAGGTCCAATGACATTTTTCGGGGGCGTAGAAGGAAAGAAAAAAAAATGCACATCAACCATACTCACCGGTAGTGCAGATACGAGCACAATAGGGCAGCGTACTCGAGTATATCCCCCATCGTGGTTTATCCGCTCCTCTCCCCACCCGGCCCAGCCGCCCAAACCAGCTACTATATTCACGATTCGCCACCGTGGAGGGCACGATGGTACGGCAGCAAGCTCCACGGCACCAGTACTGAGAATTAGTCAGCAGTGCCTACCGTGCCATACCGCTTAGACTAGACCATCTGTGTCAGACGGTGCAATACTCGAGTCCTGGTGCCGGTATCGTGCAGCGTTGGTTCATTGCTGGCTATCATGCCTGGATCTTGTCCTTCGCCCCTCTCCCACGCCTAGGTAGATCTCAAGAGGTGTGAGTGGACAGAATCTACTCGTGCTGAGTAAATTATCATAACCCCCTTCCGCTCATCTCCGAGTGATCAGCTCTTCCATTTGTTCGACTATCATACCGGCGAGTGGCCCACCTTCTGATTCCCGCGATTCACCCCCCGCTCATCCCTTTCTTCTCATTTCTGTACGAGCACACCCCGCACTGCATACTGTAGTGCCTCTACCCTCACCTCGACCCTACCTGGCCTTAAGAGCACTCGGGATACCGGTATCCTTCCAACGAGTCTGGCTTTCAAAGGAAGCTACTCCAGAACGGCTTTGCATGCGTCAGTCCTAAAACCTTACGCCCTTCCCACCATAATCCTCCGACAATACTGGACTGTACCCCGAAGCTTCTCGCCCCTCAGCCTTATTCCATCGCCCAGGGCCACTCCCGGTGCCTTATATAGCTCCCGGTCATCTCCACCAGGGTCCTCCATTTCCGCAACATCTTTCTCAAGATCCTCCTCCTCTCTCGTCCCCCATCTCTCCCATCGAAACGTCGCCTTTAGAATGCCTTCGGACATGAAGGAATTGCCCATTCGTTACGCCGGCGCGACCCTTCTTGCTGACAAGCTTGAACAACCGGCCCTCGACAACCGATCTTACAGAGTGATTCGACTCTCGAACAAGCTTGAAGCTTTGATCGTGCATGATCCGGACACGGATAAGGCCAGTGCAGCTTTAGACGTGCACGTGGGGAATTTCTCGGATAAGGATGACTTACCGGTAAGTCTACCCCCGTTACCGTTTTGGGCGCCCCCCGCCATGCGGCTCTCTCCACCCATCCGGTAGGCCTGGTGGGTGCCGGAAGGAGGTGGTGGGTGGGTGAGCATGACGGAAGGCTGAAGCTGGACCCAATATTGGTTTCCCCTACCGGGATTTATGTATGGAAGTGACCTTCTGATGTTTGCGCCGATCACAACAGGGCCAAGCGCATGCTGTGGAGCACCTCTTGTTCATGGGAACCGAGAAGGTAGATATTGATCGGGATTTCCTAATACCCAGCCAGATTTCCTTGATCGGCTAACGATTTGTGTCACTCGCTCCCGCCAGTACCCCAGAGAGAATGAATACTCACAGTACCTTTCCGAGAATTCCGGTCAATCCAATGCATACACGGCTGCAACCTCTACCAACTACTATTTCGAAGTGGGCCACGAGGCATTCTACGGTGCTCTGGATCGCTTCGCTCAATTCTTCATCTCTCCCCTCTTCCTCGCCGGGACTTTGGATCGCGAGCTCCGAGCTGTGGATTCGGAGAACAAAAAGAATCTTCAAAGTGATACCTGGAGGATTCACCAGCTTTCAAAGTCCTTGTCTAACCCTAACCATCCTTACTGTCATTTCTCCACCGGAAACTTGGAAACTTTGAAAGAAGAACCCGCCAAAAGGGGAGTAATCGTCCGGGATGAATTTTTGAAATTTCACGACAAGTATTATTCCGCCAACCTCATGAAGCTTGTAGTCCTAGGACGCGAAGACCTGGACACCCTGGAGAAATGGGTTGTCGAACTCTTTGACGGCGTCAAAAATAAGGACCTACCAGACCCGAGATTCGAAGGCCAGCCATTCACCGATAAGGAACTCCTGGTTTGTTCCCTTACGGTTGCTGCCTTGTACCATGCTGACCTGTAGCATAGACGCAAATATTTGCAAAGCCGGTCATGGATACTAGGTCATTGGATATCACCTTCACGTACCCGGATGAGGAAAACCTTTTTGAGTATCAGCCTTCTCGCTATTGCTCCCACCTTATTGGGCATGAAGGTCCTGGGTCTGTATTAGCCCTTCTCAAAAAGAAAGGCTGGGCGGATTCTCTTGCCGCTGGGCCGGAGCCCACTTGCAATGATGCTGCGTTTTTTAAGATTTCTACAAAGCTGACGGAGGATGGGCTCGGTAAGCGCTAACTTTACCCTTTATTATTATTGATATTCCCGGCTAATGCTTCACGAAGAAAACTATGAGGAAGTATTGAAGGTTATCTTCGAATATATCCATCTCATTCGTAGCACACCCCCGCAAGAATGGATTATGAGGGAGATACAAGCTATTGCGGCTGTAAACTTCAAATTTCGTCAGAAGAGCGTGGCATCCAAATTCACTTCCCGCCTATCATCCATCATGCAAAAGCCGCTTCCCCGAAAATGGCTACTCTCCGGCACCGCTCTTATCCGGGAATTTGACGCTTCGCTCATTTCAAAGTCCCTGGAGTACCTGAATCCCAATAACTTTAGGTACACAGTTATTGCTAGAGAGTGCCCCAGGGGTGATTGGGAAGCAAAGGAGCGATGGTACGGAACAGAATACCGCGTTGAAAAGATCCCCCAGAAACTCCTCTTGGAAATACGGAAAATATTTGATAACTCCAGGGAACCATCCAAGGAGCTTCATCTTCCGCAAAAGAATGAATTTATTCCCACCAATTTTGAGGTGCTGCGCAAAGAGGTTCAGGAGCCGCAGAAGGCCCCCGCTTTGATCAAGAGCACAGAAATATCTCGGATATGGTACAAGAAGGATGACACCTTCTGGGTCCCGAAGGCAAACCTCAATTGCACGCTTCGAAAGCTCGTATCACTCTGCCCTCGCTGAAAATGAATGCTAACTAAAACACAGCCCTTTAGCATATTCCACTCCCGGAAATACTGTGCGCGCGGTCCTTTATTGTCGGCTTGTGAAGGACGCCTTTAACGAGTACGCCTATGATGCGGAAATTGCTGGTTTAGATTACAATTTGTGGGGACATTCTCTCGGCCTCGATGTTGAGATTTCCGGATACAATGACAAAATGCCAGTCCTATTGGAAAAGCTACTCTTGAAAATGCGTGATCTGGAGATAACACCCGATCGCTTCAAGGTGGTCAAGGATAGGATGGCGAGGGAGCTCCGCAATTGGGACTTCACTCTGCCGTACAATCAAGTGGGAGAATTTGCAAGGTACTTGCTCTCTCCGCACATGTGGCTGAACGACGATATCCGTGATGAATTGAGCAACACCACCTTGGAGGATGTGAAAAACTTCTTCCCACAAATAGTGCAGCAATTTCACCTCGAGGCATTGGCTCACGGAAACCTTTACAAAGAGGTTTGTGTCGTTCATACCGATGCCACAGAAAGTTTTCTAATATTAAGATAGGATGTCCTACGACTCACTTCTTTGGTTGAAACGATCCTCAGGCCCCGTGTCCTACCCCCCAGCCAGTTCACTATCAGGCGATCCCTAATAATGCCCGCTGGTGGTAAATTCATTTATCCCCGCCCACTTAGAGATGAGATGAATGTCAATCATTGCATCGAATTCAGTTTATATATCGGAGAACACACTGATAGGGAACTAAGAGCAAAGAGCATCTTGTTCTCTCAATTGACTGAAGAGTATGACCATTAATCCAGAAAAAAAAAATTTAGAATATTACCATGCTAACTCGTTTCCAGACCAGCCTTCAACCAACTAAGGACAAAGGAGCAATTAGGATACGTTGTGTTCTCTGGGGCTCGTATGAATTCTACCACCATCGTCTACAGATTCCTCATTCAGTCCGAGCGCACTGGGCCATATCTCGAATCTAGGATCGATAAATTCCTTGTCGATTACAAGAGCACTCTGCAGGCAATGAGCGAAAAGGAATTCAGAGGGCACATTAATAGTGTTATTGTGAAGCGAACCGAGAAGCTGAAAAATCTCAATCAGGAGAGCAAGAGATTGTGGGGGTATATCAGCAGTGAGCTGTACGATTTCTCGCAGAGTTAGGAATTCCACTCTTTAGCCATCGTGCCTTACAAATCGTTAACTGGTCACGTCCTACAGTTGATATTGAGGTGGACATAATCCGCAGCATCACAAAACCCGAAATGTTGGATTTCTACAACAAGTTCATCGACCCGGAGTCCCACACACGAAGCAAGGCATCGGTCCATATGCATGCGGCCGCAGTTGCAGAGGCCCCCAAACCTGCCGATAAAGAGGCTATCGTTGGGAAGATATGCGAGTATATCTCAACCCGTTCCGGCGTCGAGACGGATCCAGCGGTATTCTCGAAGGCCCTCTCGGCTGCCGACCTCACCAAACCCGAGTCCGCAATGAACAGATTTCTTGAATGTCTCACTCAAGACCTCAAAATACCCCCCGAGACAGCACAATCCATTGCCCAGGAGGGTGCCACAATACTGGCCACCCTCCTACCTAGCCTCACGAAGGCTAACCCTCTGCCGCAGGAGGAGGGGGAAATTGGAGACCAAGGCGAGGTCATCGAAGACATTTGCGCCTTCAAGGCTAGGCTACAATTGACGAAGGGAGCTACGCCGGTTAAGCCGTTGGTAGAATTTGAGGAGTCTTCTGTTAAACTATAGACTGGGCAAGTTCTTTTTTTCACGCTTAGAAGGCTCGGGGGCAAGTAGGATAGAGGAAAGGGGTGACAAATTAGTTTAGTCTAGCTTTTCGATTCCTGTTTTACTTTTTCCCTTGTTTTTTTAATTGCGTTGAGTCGGGTACGGGACGGGATATGATGAAATTCGAATGATCTCATGAACATGCACACATATTTCCCACGAGTAAGCGACCCCGTCTGCACTGCAGTCACGAGGAGAAGGTCGAGTTAGTTTTGCGGACCGCGGTATGTATCTATTGAACAGTAGATGGCGTGACCAGCCCAGTTCTTATTCGCGGTTGTTCGCCCCGGGACGGTGGGGGAGCCGCCGGGATTTGTTAATCCACAGTTCTTGTTTCCCAGTTGGGTGGCCATCACATGGAATCACTCGATTGACTGCGGTGTATGATACCGTGTGATGCGTTTTTTGATTACCCCGCCGGGCTGAATGGTGTGTGGCGTGGCATGGCGTAGCATAGCGTGGCGCTATAGTGTGGTAGACAGTTGAGGAAGTGGTTGACTTATGATGCTTGAAGCATGATATGTTATGTGTGTTTATTCTAAATTTACTCTACGGCACCCTGCGACACTAAGATGGTGCGCAAGGGCTCGGGGACATGTACGTACAGTATGCTGCGTTGGTAGCATACAGCACACCAAGCCTTATCTACCTCCCACTCGCACAGACAAGCGAACAAACAACCTCCCCCCCCCTCATCCCATCCCTACCTCACCCCAACAACCACCAAATTCCTCGGGCTAGCCCCATATTCAAACCCAGCCTCCACCCACGCCTCCTTCAGCAAGCCCTTCCCCACCCCTTCCATGAGGTACACCCACCGATCAACAACAATCAGACTCTCCACGACGCCAGCGCAGAAGGCCATCAAGCTCCAAAGAACGCTGAGGTCCTTCTTCCTCGGTGCAAACAACTCTTCGTACCGGGCCACTTCATCTACGCTGACTTGCAGCCTCTGGGTCCAGCCAATTTTATCGATCGCGCCAAAGACGTACTCGCCGAAGGAGGAGTAGCACTTCTTCCTCAGCGAGCCAATAATTACCGGCTCGGCGCCGGTGACCAGCCCGCGGTCGAAAAATATGCGCTGCAGGAGGGCACGGAAGAAGTGTCTTGTGAAGAAGGCTTCGCTACTAGAGGCTGTCCAGTTACCGGGCGCTTGACAGGCCATCATTCGGGCTGTTATGTTTAGACGGACTCCTGGGCGGGTGTGGGTGAATCTGTGGCTTAGGGGGAACCCGTCCGGGTCTGCGACTGCGGAGGTCGTGACCAGGCGTGGGTGAAGTGAGCGGAGAGGGGGCTTGTATGTTGCACCAGATTTCTCAGTGAGGAGGTTGTAGCAGCAGCCGATCAGCGCACAGGCTTTCACCGATGGAGTGGTGAGGAAGGAGGTGAGGCCATGGTGGAGGAGGTTCCCGCAGGAGTGAAGAGAGATCAGGAGAAGGGATTTGGGCGTTGGGAAGGGGATGAGGGTGGTTATCGGAGTGAGATCGTTTCCAGAGATGCACTTTTGGATGTACTGTAGGGTGCCGCTTTTGCCATTATTGCTTGTATTCGGTGCTGTTTCTTCTGCTGCGATGGAGTCGCCATTTGTTGCTCGGGATGTAGATTCCCCGCTTTGCTGCCTTTTCCGCCCCTTCCGTTCACGCTTTTTGGCAAGATTCTCGAAGCGAGCATCCATCTCTTTTGCCCCCTCGATATTTCCCGGTCGGGATTCTATGCCTACGACGTTATGTCCATACTTCTTCGCCAGCGTCCGACTTAAGTATGCTTGTCCGGAGCCAAAGTCCAAGATATGTGTGATACCTTCCCCGCCGGTAGGCTTGTCGCGGGCGTTGACATTAGAGACTAGATCGTCGACGAAAGCAGAGAAGTTCTCCACCTTTTTTTACCACCGGCAGGATCATACATGAGTACAGTGCTATCCGATGTCTCAAGTTTCATGTGTATATATGTGTGCAATTCGTACCTCGTGGATTTTCTTCGGCCGCATGCCAGTGTTCAATGCCCCTTCCTCGCCACTATGGGATATGCCGGCTGACTTTTTGGTTTTTGCTGGGGCGGGTGGCCGGGTGAAGCCTCGGTTGAGGGAGTGGACACGGACTTGTGTTATGAAGGTAACCAGAGTCTGCGGACATGTTTTCGGGAATTGGTCTATTGGTATGCGGAGCAGGTAGTCAAGAATTGAAGGTACTTCCTGCGCCGAGAAGAAGGATATCCAGTCTGTTGGCAGTATTTCATGGTAGAGGTCCGTAGGCTCCGCGTCAGAATCTCGAGTGAAGAAGTCAAGGATGTGTACACCGCCGCAGAGGATTTGGAAAAGCGGATCAGAGGTGAAGGTTAATAGAGAGGCGATGTACTCCTCCGGAGAGGTAAATTGCGGATCGTACGGGAGGGGCTGGGAGGGCGGCATTCTGGTGAACCTGCCACTCGTATATAACTTTATTGGCTTCCCCCGGTGGCGATGGTTTGTTCGAGGTGGGATCCATTGACGGCCCCTGCAAGTCAGCACAAACTCGGCCTTGGCGGTAGGCCATGGCTTGGCACTCGCGTTGAGCTCCTAGACAGGTTCGGAAGCCTCAACTTTAATTTACCCTCCAACAACAACGGCAATCAGGTCAGCTCAACACCACATACCCTACCTCCTTCCGCCATCGTTCGAACCATGTCGACAATCACTAGCACTGCTCTCCAGAGCTCTCAGGCGTACGTTTCTCTCTTATTCTCCTCCTCTCATTAGCATCCTTCTATCAACAACTCTCGTCCCCCTGCTACTCCCCCACACGTCCTCAATGGAAGAGCCCGAAACTTACACTCAGGATGAGCGATTCGACCAATTTTTTAGCCCAATCCTACCAGCTTCCTTCTCCGCGAACCAGCCAAAGACCATCCGTCTTTACCCGTTATCTAACTACACCTTCGGTACCAAAGAGAACCAGCCCGAAGAGGACCCCTCTGTCCTCGCCCGTCTGCAGCGTTTACAAGAACATTACGAGCAGTATGGTATGCGACGCACCTGCGAAGGCATCCTTGTTTGTCACGAGCACTGTCATCCGCATATCCTCATGCTTCAAATTGCCAATGCTTTCTTCAAGTTGTATGCTTACGTTCCCTTTTGGTTCTCGCTGCCATTTTTGTTGCTGATAGGGAGTGTGTGATTGCTAGGCCAGGCGATTACCTCCATCATCACGAGAGCGAGCTGGAAGGTTTCAAGTCTCGTCTAAATGAACGCCTTGCTCCTGTCGGTAGCCAATTTTCCGGCGAGGGTGTTAACGATGAGTGGGAAATTGGTGATACTCTCGCTCAGTGGTGGAGGCCAAACTTTGAGACTTTCATGTACCCATTTATCCCAGCGCATGTCACCAGGCCTAAAGAGTGCAAGAAGCTATACTTTATCCAGCTCCCCAGAAGCAGTTCCGTCTCCCCCTTCCTTCCATCTCGCAAAATACTTTGCTGATAATGCGACTGCGCATGGGGATCCAGAGGTACTATCGGTTCCGAAAAACATGAAATTATTGGCCGTACCGCTTTTCGAGTTGTATGATAATACTGCACGTTACGGTCCTCAGCTTTCTGCAATCCCCCATCTGCTTAGCAGATACAACTTTGAGTTCGTTGATGAGAACGGAAAGGTTGTCGCGGTCACCCCAGGCGGGGGTCCCGACGGAGAGCCGCAGACAAAGGTACTCGCAGGAGGGGAGGAGAATGGGGATATCAAAACTGAATAGAACAAGTTAATGGCGGAGTTTACTGGTGAGCAAATATAACTGTAGTCTCTTGGTCTTTTTAACCGTTCGTCGCTGGATCCTTTTATCGTGTATCAGCCGGCTCTCTTCCTTCCCTTTTCTTTCCTTTTACCCAGGCATCTCTTTTCCGATGAAATGGTTGTGGCTTGTATTTTTAACGAGGTAAAATGACATTCCGTATGGGCTTATATGGCTTCACTTATCTTTCTTGGGTACCGCCCGGGCTATCGTACATTTCTACCCAATCTAAACAAAAGGAATCTATTCATACATCTTACTGCCATTATTTGTATTCCCGATATGGGAAAACACTATAAAAAAGCTCCCCGCCCGCCACCATGAAAACAACCCGTTACGCCGCGCCAGCAATCCTAGGGAACACTTCATTATAAGACAACAACCAAGAACAGCAGGAATATCAGAACCACGATGAGAGTCGCGATGCAGCAACTGCTAGCGGTATCTATACACCATTTCAGCTCTTTAATCCTCCATCCCATCGGAGAAAGGAGGGCTAACCTTCGTTCTTCCTTATAAAAGTGTTCAAATCTCTGACTCCCTTCTTAAGCTTATGCTCCACCCGATCCACGTCCCCATCCATTGCACCAAGCATTTCAGTCTGCTCCTCCAACTCCCTATTCATGACATTCGCCTGCTCCCTCAGGCCGACCACGGTCCTCGAAACCCCCTCTAGCATCTCATCCTGGTCATGCATAATTTCCTGTTGATACTGCATCTCGTAGCCACTCCACCCGCCACCCTCCTCATCCCTCCCGTCATCCATAGTCGCCGTCGCCGTAGTCTCTGCATTCTGCCGCGAGGACGGAGATGGGGTGGTATTTAACTCCTCCCGCATATCACCAACTTCGCCTTCTACCTCCTCCACGAAACGTCGTCGGCGGACGACTTCGGGGACGTCTAGGCCGAATTTGTACGGGTCTGCCTCCATCTGTCGGACGGTTGCATGAAGGTCACTGAGGTCCGTGCTTATTTCATCTAGCAGTGTTATGAGTTCTGCCTGCGAAGAGAGGAGTTCTGGGGAGGGGGCGGCCGTCGGAGCATGGAGGGCGCGGATGCGGAGATAGCTGCTAAAGGAGGTTCGGGCTGATTCGAGGAGGTTGGAGAGTTCGCTGGGGGTTATTAGCAATGCGCAAGGGGAAACCGGGCCACGGAGGAGGGAGTGAGTACTTTTGAAATTGTATGAAAGGGTCCGTATCTGCTGTCGAGGACATCATGGTGGGCAAACTCGGCACTTGGAGCTCTGGAACTTGGACCGGTGATTGGGTTATGTATCTCAGAGTTGACGTTTCATGTGATTAGATCGATTAGATTATAGCGATTAGATTGTGGTCGCTCCGTGATCTTCGGACGATATTGATAGACTACGGCGAGGTCCGGACTACCAGTGCCTCGCCTCGATCCCTTGTATCTAAAGACGTAAATCTTTTGACGTATCGGGCGAAAATATTGGTATCGTAGATGTAAATTTACCGGTACTAGCTTATAAATTTATCAAAGCCTTCTCCAGCCCTCCAAGCCTTAAGGGGCCAATCGGAACCTCTGTTGGCGAAATTACTTAGCACCCAAATCTACCTCGGTCAGCGCACAATACAGAACGTCAAAGTTCGACATCCCACCTCTCCTTCCCTTCCCTCTCTGAAACACCCCCCCCCGGCCATCAAAATCTCCGGAAGCCTCACCCTCCCTCCTCTCACTACTACCAACAGACCCGCCACTCCCCCAAAATCAATGGCAGCCGCACGACTCACACGCAGCGCCCTCACCTCGTCGTTGCGCAGAAATATTATCGTTCCTCGAAAGTCCCCCGGTATCACTAGGTCGCTAGCATCCCCGGCCCCGGTCCGTATACCAGGAGTTACTACGCAATCGACTACTCTTTCGAATGGATTGACAGTGAGAAATATCCTTGAATCTGAGGAGGGTTTTGGATGGATGGAGTGACTGATCCTTTCCCGCTTTTCCTTCTGATTAGATTGCTACCGAGCACTCGCCCTATGCTCAGACTGCGACTGTTGGAGTTTTCATCGATGCTGGGAGCAGGGCGGAGACCGATAAAACCAATGGAACTGCGCATTTTTTGGAACATCTCGCTTTCAAAGTATGAGGTTATATCTTTGCGTCTGGTGATGTGTATGGGCAAATCGCTAAATATTTCTCTTTTCTTCCTGTAGGGAACTAAGAATCGAACTCAGAATCAATTAGAACTCGAGATTGAGAATATGGGTGGCCACTTGAACGCCTACACCTCAGTACGTTCTACCAGTCCCGGTGCACCATCTCCCACATTTCGGTTTTAACAGGTAGCTATCGATATAGCGCGAGAGCACAGTCTACTATGCTAAGTCCCTTAAAGATGATGTCGGGAGGTCAGTGGAGATCCTCGCCGACATCCTGCAAAATTCTAAACTCGATGAATCGGCCATCGAGCGTGAGCGCGATGTCATACTCCGTGAGCAGGAGGAGGTCGACAAGCAGCTCGAGGAGGTCGTCTTCGACCACCTTCACGCCACGGCTTTCCAGGGCCAGCCGCTCGGCCGCACCATCCTCGGTCCCAAGGAGAACATTTTGTCGATAAGTAGAGAGGACTTGACCGACTACATCTCCACAAACTATAAGGCCGACCGTATGGTTCTTGCCGGCGCCGGCGGGATCCCTCACGAGACCCTTGTAGCACTTGCCGAGAAGCACTTTTCCGGCGTCAACCCGAGTGAGAATCCTATCACTCCGGGATCTGCGCGTGGTCCGAAGCCCGAATTCATCGGATCGGAGGTCCGCCTGAGAGATGATACTATCCCTACCGCCCACATCGCCATTGCCGTCGAGGGAGTCAGCTGGAAGGATCCTCAATACTTCACTGCGTTGGTTGCGCAGGCTATCATTGGTAACTGGGACCGGGCCATGGGCAACGCCCCACACCTGGGCAGCAAGCTCTCTTCCTTCGTGCATAAGCACCAATTGGCCAATTCATTCATGAGCTTCAGCACCTCGTACTCCGACACTGGGTAATCCTACTTCCCATTGATCCTATTACCCCCACAATTAGCTAACTCACGCACAGTCTCTGGGGAATCTACCTAGTCACCGACAAAGTTACTAGAATCGATGACCTCGTTCACTTCGCCCTTCGCGAGTGGTCCCGCCTCGCGCAAATCGTGACAGAGTCCGAAGTGGAGCGCGCAAAGGCCCAACTCAAGGCATCGCTCCTTCTCTCCCTCGACGGCACCACCGCCGTCGCTGAGGATATTGGCCGCCAGATCGTCACCACTGGCCGGCGGATGAACCCTGCCGAGATTGAGAGGGTTGTTGGTCAAATCACCGAAAAAGATGTTATCGACTTTGCTCAGCGTAGGATTTGGGATCAGGATGTTGCGATTAGCGCGTTGGGTAGCATTGAGGGTGTACGTCCTTTTTTTTCTTTCTCTCCTTTTTGGATTGTGTTTGCGTTTGTACTGACTTTTACTCAGTTGCTGGATTACCAACGTGTTCGCAACGATACCAGCCGTAACTTTTAAGTTTCTTGCGGGGGGGGGGGGGGCGACGGAGACAGCGGGCGAGGTATTATTGAGGGGTAGATAGAATAGAGGTTTAGGTCGGTTTGGGGAAGAGATGGTTGATTTGCGAAATCAAAAAAAGGAAAGGAGGGAAAGAAAATAGTTGGGGTTTATTCGCTGATGTACAGTACACCTATTCTATATCCCCAGAATTTCTTTATCTCTTCCCCTCCAACGTTTGATTTATTTTCTTCTTCACGCTTCCCTCTTTTCTTTCTCTTTTTCGCTCAAACAAAATGGGTGGACAAATGTGAGGCGCGAAGTCGTGGAGAATATAAAAAAAAATATAAAAATAAAAATAAAAGTTGCAACAAGTGACCATCTTCGATTCATTTATTCACCGATGCACGGTGGAATGAATGCCGTATGATGGAAGACAAATGGACGGCTCCGTATTGACTGTCCGAAGTATGCAACTGTAATATACACAGAAGGAGCAAACGGAAAGGAAAATGAGGGGCCACAATCAGGGTCTGAGTTATACGGCACCGTTGTAGTAAACCTTCCTAACATCCACCAACTTCTTTCCCCGGCCCAGAGCGATGGTCTCGGGCAACTTTTGGCTCCTGAGGGCTTGGATGGTAGCCTTGCAGACATTCATGGGATTCCTGCTGCGAGTAACCCTCGCCGAGAGGTCCGACAGTCCCAGACACTTTGCTATCTCAAAAATGTACTGAGAAGTGCGCAATCCGAATCCTAACCATATTAAACTCGCCGTCAGTCCCCACGTCCCACCCCCAAAGCAAGGGGAAACCGACCCGGCGGTCGAGTAAAAAGCTTCAACTCCACCGCGCCAACCTTGATATCCAGATCGCCGAAAATGGTACGGTTCTCGTACCTGGGCACGGGCATCATGTTCCGAACAGCCATGTAGGTGGCGATGCGCTGGGCCTCCGAGTGCTCGACGCTCTTCCCCTCCCCGATGCCCACAAGGCCGTTCCCGTTCCCGGCCACGGCGAGGCAGTACATCCTGCGAATCTTGCCCATGTGCGTCTGGTTCACGACGCTGTGGGAGACCAGGATCTTCGTCCTGAACCGCTTGATGTCGGCGACGGGGAAGCCGGTCCTGAGCGAGACCTCGCGCATCCAGGGTGGCTCCCCCGTGGCGGAATTGGCGGCAGTGGTGGAGGCGGAAGGGGTGAGCAGCTCTTGCAGTTTCGGGAGCGGCTGGAGGGGGTGTCCCGGCGTGTAGGTTTGCGGGCCGGTGGGGGAATCTAGGATTGGGTCGAGGATCGAGAGGTCGTCGAGGTACCGCAACTTCATGGGGTCGTGGTCGGGTCGTCGGTGGCGGTTGTGGAAGTGCGCGGGGTCGACGGCCGATTCCCCTGCCAGGAGGGAGGCTAGCTGGGCATCCGTGTAGTATTCCGACAGTTTGGAGACTTGGCCCTCGGTGTAGGGGGTCGGTGGGGGTGTCGTGTAGGATTCGGGTTTGGCTTTCAGGCTGCGACGGTGACGGTAGGTGCTTGGTGGGGTCGTGGTCAATTGGCGGCCCCCCCGGGGAGAAATGTGGAGGATACGGCGTACGGGGCAGACCACGTTCATTCTGGTGCGTGTGTGTGTGGTGGAGGTGGTGATGGGGGGGGGGGAGAGGATATTTGGTGGGGTGGATGGAAATCAAAGTTTTAGCTGGTAGCCAATGTCCGCTCGCGGTGGTCAACGTTGTAGGGTAACTTGACCCTAGAGTCTCTCTATTGCAGTCTGGTTTCACTTTTCCTCCATCGGCAATGATCAATCGCTGGGCAAATTATATTACATCGCAAGTACGGTATTGCAAGTTACTGCAATTATCGTACCGGTAGAGTACATACGAAGGAAATCGCAAACAACTCGCCAAACCCAAAGCAGAGACTGTAATTCTACATCTGCCAACCCCGAAAAACTATAATGATGAAAAAAAAAATGAAAAAGATGAAGAGAAGGCTTCTTCCCGAACGTCCTGCAATGGATTCCGTATTCCAGGAGGACAACCACTGGATATTGAAAATGTAAAGAGGGTTTACAGAAAAGAAAAAGAAAAGTGAGGGAGGGAGGGAGGGAGGGAGGGAGGAAGAAGGAGCAGGGTATTCTACGAGTGGACGGTGGGTAAGCCGCCCAAGGTGTTAACGAGAGAACCTCCCACGTTTGCTGGGGTTCCCGCGGTTAATATTGTCAGTATAGTGCTTGCGCTGCATCTCCAGCTCCGGACAGGCAGCGCGGACGTGGCCGGGTTTCCCGCACTTGAAGCACTTCCCGCCTCCGCCGATGGGGCCCGAAGTGGATGGGGGACCACTGTTGGAAATAGAATGCAGGTTCTTTAGAATCTTATCATCGTCCATTTTTTTGGCCTTGGCCTTCTTCTGCTTCTTCTTCTTCCGCCTGTCTTTGGAAGAGTCACTGTCAGAGTCGTCAGTGGAAGAGGAAGAGTCGTCAGAAAGATCTTGATCTGGCTTTTTGGGAGAGTCCTGTTACACCATCATTAGCACATCCTCATCCTACCCGCCCGGACCCTCGCAGGGCAGGAAGGGAAGCGGGAGAACAAACCTCAAGCTTGGCCCCATACTTTCCAAACTTCATCCTTCCCCCAATTCCTTCCTCCTTTTCCTCTTCTTCCTCACCATCATCGCTACACCCCCCATCAGCCAGCTCCCCATACCCAACCGTGAGAACCCTAACCGGTGTTTGAGGCGTCCTCCGGACAATGCTTAGCTCCCACCGGGTCTCCGCGTCCTCACGAGTACTTGCCTCCGAGCGATCCCTCGTCGCCAGGAGCGCGACCTCGCGCTTCGCGTTCTCCGCTTCAATCGCTTTCTGAACCTCGGCATGGGATTTACTTCCCGGCGCGGAGGCGTTTCTTTGCATGAACTAGATTTGGAAGACGTCAAGAGTTGGTCAGCTAGCCGCAGGGTTTTCATAGAGGGGCTATTGAGGGGGTTGGTTTCGTTGGTTTGGTTCGGTACATTCATGGTGAGCAGTCTTGACGACATCGATCTTGCCTTGGCAACCGGCCGCGGGGCGGGCCTGCCTTTGGGGGCTCTGGATGCCATCTCGGCGACCGTGGTGGTGGTGTCGTGGGTGTAGTCGTGGTGATGGCGTTGCTGGTGGTGGATTGTGGATGAAAGGCGGAAAGGTTGAAAGGCGAAGGAGAGTTGAAAGTTGTGGATTATGTAAGCCTCGTTCTGTATGGAGTTGGGATGGGCTAAATTTGCCGGCAGCCGCGTTGGGCTTGGGTTGAGATGCTGTGGTGTCGGCGGGAATAAACTGCACAAGCATCATACTAATTTAATAACTTGATGCTGATACTGTATTTATGGCCCCAATTCCCAGATCCCCTATCGCTATGCTCATGGAAGAGTCTTCTCCTGTGTTATATAGCATCATTCTACTTGCACCGTACAGTATACACTAGATCATTCGTCTAGCCTACTGGAAATCCCTTTTTCCCTTATTTTTCCCCTAAATTTTATGGCAGCTCCAGGATCTTCTTGCTGTAGTATGTCTTCGGTGGACGAAGTACCGGTACTCTACGAGTACATTTGCCAATGAGCCTTCTATGTATCGAGAAGCTACTTACTGTACGAGTGCCTTGTCACCGTACAGGTTTGACCTCGTTGCCACCTCTGAGGCTTCTGCTCGTGGGCCCTTCTTAGAACACACCACGGTTCCGGATATCCAAAAGCAGAGCCCGTTTGACGCGGGCCACTATGGCCAGCAAAGATTGTTCCCATCCTGGCGTGTGTTTGCCAAAGCCCGAATGTTTATGCAGTATCATAGTATCGTGACTTGTGTGTTTGATGATGCGGTCCATCAACTGTCGGCTCCGGAATCAATATCGGAAAATAGACCATTGGCTCAACCCAAACAAGCGTTCTACCGTATTATAGCGAACCATTCCAAGGGGTGCCATGGACGTGGCTACGCAGATTCGGTTTCCAATCCACTGCGGATACGGAATTACGGGCCACTGCTCTTTCCAACGGGCACGCCGCCACGGCAAGCGAGGGCACGGTTAATTCACCCATTAACCGCTACCGCACTCGAGTACATGGTAATGATCGAGACGGAGGGTATCCAGATTGCACGCCACTGGTTCGAAGGGGAAACACCACTTTGATACCGATGGTAGACACCCGGGCCTTTACGAGTACCATCTGGACATCTCCAAACACCCTCGCACCGTACTGTACTCGTAGCCGACCCCCTACCGGGCGTCCGCTCGCCCAACTTTGACACCATCTGGGGATCCGCTCTATCGTGCACCGAAGAGGGACACACAACGCGCTGCAGAAGCAAGGGTTCCATACGAATTCAGCGCAGCCCCACCAATACCCCTGCCCCTGAGCACCTTCTCCCTCAACGCTTACCGAGTGCCACCCCCTTAGTGAGTTGTCATTTGTCCTGTTCTGTCTCGGATTTGCCGCCGGCACATGACCCACGGAGCTCTGCAAGTACAAAAGTGGCACCATCCCACAGGAACCTTCAATCTGCGAAGACTCACGACTTCGACAGCAGATTCCACGGGCAGCAGGATCCAGAAACTCACACTCCTCCACCGCGTTGCCTTCTCTTCCCCAGCCCAACCCTACAAATTCTCACTGCTTGACTGAGCTTGACGAATCCGGCCTTCCGAGTACCCGGCCTCTGCCATATCTCGGACGGACTTCGCCAACATGGGCCAGTCACAGAGCTCCCGCAAATCCGAACCGGGCGCGGGCTACCGTGCTCAGGCGGCAGAACAGGCTCGGGAGCGAACCGAAGCGTTGCGCAAGTCCCAAAACGGTAGCGATCAAACCTCGTAACCTTTGGTATATTGAATCCGCGAAACTAACAGGCCGTCAGCACTCTATTCCTCCAATGCGAAAGCCCACTCCCGTGCAGCGCGCATGCACCAGCAAAAAAGGGACGAACTCAACGCCCTGGCCAGCAGAGAGATATTCCGACACTACAACCCAAGATACCCCTCCACCGCTGCCAATTCCACACTCTCCTCGATCCCATCGCTCTTTGGCGCGCTGTTCTCACTATTCGTGGCCGCGCCGAATGATCTGTCGCGATTGGATCTGCACGGACAGTACGTGAGTGAGGCCATCCCGATAGTTGAGGACCACTTGAAGAGGTGTCGGAGGGAAGGGGTCAAGACGACCCTGGTCATAACGGGGAGGGGCGCGCATAGTCGTGGTGGCATTGCGAGAATTAAGCCGGAGGTTGAAGCGCTGTTGGCTCGTATGGGGGTCAAGTATTGGAAGCATGGGGAGGGGGCCTTTCATGTTGATTGTAGAAGGGAAGATGAGGGGGTTGTGGCATGGATTTGGAGGGGGATATTCGGGTAGGGAGGTCTGTAGTGTTGTGTGTGTGTCGATAGTTGCGCGGCATATTAGGGCTGAAGGGATATTATTGTGGTGTGGCCATATGATTTTTTGTCTGTTGTTTTGCCGGGGCTAAATTTTACGTGATGGTGAAGGATGCCTTTGTAGCGTGTGAAAGGGAGGGTGTCGCCATGTGTTGCAAAATGCGTGGGAAGGAAGGGGAGGAAACAGAACACTTGATCTCCAATTTCTGTGAGTCCACAGAACTAATACCGGTATACTACTCGAGCTTAGCTGTCATTTCCAATGATCTGTCCAATGCAAAAGAGACCACAACTCCAGTTGAACATGCTAGCGAAGACCTCATCTCGGCTCTCGCTGAATGTGGGCACAAGCTGACCACTAAGGGCAATCTTGAGATGAACCACCAAACTCCACGAGTGACATTACATGAGGACGTCTGTTCTGCCCTCCTGAGATCCTCAACCCTCACCCAACGTCCAATAACCCACAAGCCCTGAAGGTACACATCTCCCCTCTGTCGGCCCCTCTATATAAGCCACACCTCTCCGCCTCCTTTCCGCCACAACAACGAACGCCACACAACGCCACACGCACACAACGCCACAATTAAACGGCAGACATGGCAAATCCGCGTACAGATAACATACTATATCTTACCCTCCCGAACGGGATCATCACCCCGCTCCTCGACGACAATGGGCAATACACCCCGGCGAGCGCCTACCCGGCTGCCACCCCAGTGTGCTTTGCCATGCTTGGGCCCGACGTCTCTACCATCGGCACGCCCCTGATCATAGCCACTACCGCCAACCCCGCCCAAGGGACTCCAGACGTCTTCCTCCTCATGTTCATGCAGAGGGACGGGTCTTATGCTTTGAGCCCAGATTCTGTATGTTTTTCACTTTCCTTCCTTCCTCCCTGGGTAACCTGAGTGCGGGCATACTGATCGTGATCATTAAGTAAAAAAAAAAAAAAACGAGGCCTGAATGAAATGGCCGGAACGAGAAAGGGGGAAAAAATCTGGGGGGAATTTGTGGGATGCTTGGGGTTTCTTTTATGGATAAACTTGAGTGATTTTACGGATGTTGTACCGGGTTGGACTCCTACTCGAGTAGTCAGTTAGTTTTATGGTGCTGGGATTATTCTTTTAAGGTTTTATAAACGTTTGCATTCTTTCGTGGCTGTGAGAGTGAGTGAGTGACGGAATGTGTTTTTGAGATTTGGCGTTTTCATACTTTCTTTCTTACTTTCTTATGGGAAGTATGATGCAGACAAGTAATCAGGCTAGGTGTTTTCGTGATGGGGTAGGGATAACTTTGCTGCTGACCGGCAGAATTATTCCGTCCATGTACTGTACGAAAAATATCTTGCCCGGTTACTGATACTGAACTGTACAGTACAGTACAGTACAGGTGGTATTATCCGGCGAAGCTAGTACTAAACCTTCCAAAGAGTTTTTAACTTGGTATCCGTAGATTTACAGGGCTGGTGGGGGTAGTGGATTTCAAAAGAATTTCTTCTCTCCCCTTCCCAGAAAAAGGCTAGAGTAATATGTTGGTGTATTCCTGTCCTTTTCCCATAGATTAATCTGGGAGTTTTACAAGTACAGTATAATACTGATATTGCACTATTGATACTACTTCATTCCTGTACTGTACACCACCTAAATCCTGGACAAACTCTCCATATGGGGGAGCTTAAAGCTCGGAACCTACTTCCACACCTCTAACACTTTTACCTAAATATGCACTGCATGCTCACACGGCAGTGTTTTTTTATTTATTTATGATTTCGTGTTGATTTGCTTTCTTGATAGAAAAAAATTAGATGGACTGATGGACGTCATTATCGGGCTGGATTGTACTGTTATGGGGAGATGCTAAGGGAACTACATAAAGTACTGCTAACTCAACGAGAACTCACGACCACCTCACCTCACCTCCTCTCTCCCAGATATATGGTACTGATGGACAAGTAGGATAATTTGTTTCTAGAAATTTATTATAGACACAGTGAGTTGTATATCATGCACCATCCCCAATCCATCCCTCCTTCTTTCTCTCTTTGTTTTTTCAACTGGGTAATTGGCAAAGTCAAAGTTTGATAAGAATTTCTTTCTCTCTCAGGGCATTATTATCCTCACCAGAAAATTGGAGTGCAAAATGGACTCTACTTTGGTCTTGATTGTGGGATTACCGGATTTGCTCAATTGATGTGCTTTCAGCTGCTTCCGTTCTGGTTACTATCCAATCCTGAGGCTCTAATTATCATGTGTGAAAGCTTGCATCTGTTTCTGATGTGAGTTCTCATGTGGCATAGTCATGTTATGATGCAGCATGGTACAGTAGTAGGCATAATTAGCGGCTCAGTCATAGTGGACTGCTAGCAAACCTTAATGGGATGTAAGTGGCACCTTCACAGATAGTAAGTATTGTATATACAGATGGGTGAGAGTAACCCCAAATAAGTGCTACTGAATACTATTATATCACTAAAAACATTACTGATAGAAACGTCGAAGGATCTAATCCAAACCCTCCCTATTAGTGGTGTTCCCCTGTGCAGTTCTTGCACTCTACATAGGGTCTCTCTTTTTAGAGTTGTTTGTCTAGCATAGTACCATCTCTCACCTGTCACTTTATTGTTAGTTCTTCTGCTCTCCGGTCTCCGGTACGATACACCCCATCTCATGTCATGTGTATGGTATGTGTGGTTATGTCTGGCTTGTGTCTATGTCTATCAAGCTTGCATTCAGCGCTCTAGTAATCCATCTGGTTGCTGCTGCTGGAGTTGTGCTATAATAGATGTATATACAAGGTTGGGAATTAAGAGGCGCGTAATAACTTGACCCAATGGGCGTGAGAAGCAAAGGCATATCTGAGGGGTATACATATATACAAAGAAAAGTGGGTATGGAGGAGCGCTAGCGGAACACGTGTATATAAAATTGGTAAGACAGAATCCGAACAACACAAGAACGGGAAATATAAAAGGGGATGGGGAAATTTTGGGAACAAGCGAGATAACAGGACATTCTAAGTGAATAATCTGAAGGTTTGGCGCGTACGGTGACCTTTCGGGATTAGGATTGCATTTGCTCGGGTTTGTTCTGGTGGGAGGCTAAGTCAGATGGGTGGAGGGTGAAATGTCGAGCTACGTGCTTGGATAAAAAAACCTGCGGGGCTCTTGAAAGGGGGCTCAGATGTCTTGGACGGCTCGGTGGAGGAAGGCGCTGCTGATTGTAGACTTGCTCTATGTCTGGCAACCGAATGTATCCGTTCCTGCAGCAACTTTGCAATTCTCTCGTACCCGTTATTGAGAGCCAACTGGAGCGGTGTACGGCCATATGTGAGGTCAGCCGTGTTGGGATTGACATCGCTCCTTCCAAGCAGCATCCTCACAACCTCCTCGTGCTTATAAGTGGCAGCCCACGAGAGTGGTGTTCGGCCAAACGAAGCGTCAGCTATGTCGGGATTGATGTCGCTCTGATCAAGAAGCATCTTCACAACCCCTTCATGTCCGTGGATGGCAGCCCACGAGAGCGGTGTTTGGCCATATTGCGTGTCAGTTGTGTTGGGATTCACATCTCTCCGTTCAAGTAGTATCCTCACGACTCCCTCATGGCCATGTATGGCAGCCAGCGAGAGCG